ACTCTAAAGACATGACTGTTGGGTTAATGGGTCTCTCTAAATTGTCCTTAGGGGTGTCTGTGTGTGTGTGTGTGTGTGTCTGTGTCTGTGTGTGTGTGTGTGTGTGTGTGTGTGTCTGTGTGTGTGGCTGTTTGTTCTGTGTGCTTTTGTTTTGCCCCATGATGGACATGTAGCTTGTTGCCCTATGACCTCCTTCTCGAACAATGACTGCTGGAAATAGGCACTTATGGCCCTGCAACAATAAGTGCGTACAGACATTGAGTAGATGGATCTACAGACTTGTTGATCTGCAATCCTAAGCAATGTCTCAACTTCAACTTTGGGAAACCCTTTTTTTTTTTTTTTTTTTTTTCCCCAGATCAAAGCCTATAGGTATAAGACAAATCTCTGCCAAAGAGATGACATTCTTTTTATCCATCCAATCTGAGGGAACTTTCATTTCCCAAAGAAGAAAAATGTGAACATTTTCAGTCTTAAGATTTGCAGAGGTGGAAAAAACAAACCCTATGCAAGGCAACCAGCTGAGAGCTTTGTTGTGTTTCTGCCAAGGAGCAGCAAACCTTTTCGTCCAGCCTTCAAACTGAACTAATTTGCTGAGCTTTCTGGCTTTCTTCTTTTCCGTTCTCTGTGTGAAAATTTCATGGCTTAGAATGGCAGCCATCTTTCAGTAAACCCACCAACTAACCCAGCAGCCAAGCATTTCCTGCCACAGTTTGGCATCTCGCATTCCAGTCCGGCCCCGGCCCGACCAAGTGGAGCGTTACGTTTCAGCAATTAGATTAAAAGTTCATCAAGGCAGGGCGGTTGGGACCGGCCCAGGCTAAATGGACTGTAACCATTCATCTGCAGACGCTACTGATTATATAGAAGTTGCTTGATAATTATTCAGGTGCTGATAAGTTTCTCCCCTGTCCCCTTTTTTTCCATTTCTGGCCTCCACTAAACGCTGCAACACGCTTCCTGTTTTTGCCACACAAATAATCACACACGCCGTGCAAAACGTTTTCATCACGGTTTGCAGGCCAGAACTCATTTAACTAAGACATTTCTTTAAAAGTCCATAGACTTTTCCATAGTCTTCCACAGACTTTTCTTTGTAAGGTTTTTACGCAGAAGTTGGATCAGGTTCCTTTAGAAGCAGATTTTTTTTTTTTTTTTTTTTTTTTTTTTTTTAACCACCCTTATAAGGAAATTTGAAGAGTTTTTTTTTTTTAATTGGGTTGGTTTTGGGTTACTGT